TAACCTTCCCATGAAGCTGGAATAAACATACAAACAAAAATAAATAAAACGTTATTTTCAACATTTCTTACATAAAAACGTTTTGTAATTGATTTGCGTATTAGAGTGAATTATTTTTAGTTATATTGCTTAAACAGGTGATTATCTGGAATGATAAGATAAAAACCTATTCATAGGTTTACGACGGTAAAATAAATTAAACACTACTTAGTATTTTAATTAAATGTAAAGAATGGTGTCTGAAACAGGAATATATAATGCGTTTTTCTTAAAACAGTTTATCTAAATAACGAAACTACTGATATACTGAGTAAAATTGTCTCTAAGTATCAAACCGGAAAGCAAAACTGTGAAGTAGTTATTTAACATTTAGCGATAATATTTGGATCTAAGAGACAAAATAATTGTAGTATGATAAATTTCAACGTTCGCTTGATGTAATTCACGCGGTCATCATACATTATAAACTATCTGATGTGTATAGATAAAAATATTTATCCGTCAAAAACAATATGATAAAATAAGTTAAAAGCGGATAATACTTATTAAAACAACACAAATTAGATAAAAGGAGTTGAAGTGTTAGTCGAAACAGATAGGATGCTAATTTTAAAGCAGAAGCATTTTGTCGCCATACAAACAGATTGAAAAAATCGATGGAGCATGTTTTTCCCCCTGTAGCATTGCGGAGGAAGCTCTAAACAAGGCATTAGGCAATACTAACGCTTAATTAACTATAATCGTCAAAGGCAGGCGAAAAAGGTAATAAGCTTGCATCTTTCGTGGAAATCAACAATTTTTTTAACGAGCTTACTGCTTGTTAATGAGAAAACGTTGCTTGAAATATTCTATAGTATGAATGTCTGAGTAGAGCAAATGTTACTTCTTCTAACACACAGCAGCTAAACGAAGACTTGACATAAACTATTTAATCATTTACAATTTGAAAGCTCTTTTATCAAACATCGTATAATAGTAAACCTCGATATATCAAAATGGAAATCTTAAAAAAATCCCAGAACGCAAAATTGAAAATGTTGCAGGATCAGTTTCATTAAGCCTGTCCATGGGCGCCTGTTGTAAGTGCAAGTTCTATTCACGCCCTAACACCGTCTTAAGCAAACATTATCAGATACTTTCACATGTGATACGGCGGTGATCATGGGAATTTCAATATGAATCTTCCGTGAATTCTATGAAAAGCAGCTTATGGTTCCCGAGTAAAAGATTAACATGACAAAATAATAACTTTTGAAGATTGTTAAGTACATGAATCAATGATGGACATTGACTAGGAAAGGGATCTAGAATTTGCAGGTGATGATAACGAGTAAAGCCTTACGGGAAAAAGGTTGGACAAATTTCTGACTATTGACATGATTTTTTAATATATTAGATAATTATCATTAGTTAGTGTGATGCAAAGGTTAAGGTGAAATTCTAAACTATTACATCGATAAATAATGTTATTAACTTTGAAAAAGTAGCAAGTCAGCAATTCTTTATCGTATTTGACAGCGCATATGAGGGTGGGAAATGCGTTTTGAGTAAGCCTAACGGGATAAAGGGTTGACCAAATTTCTTACACCCGCGTCTTTCATTTTCTGCGTTAGTTGTCCCAGGTATCTTTCCGCGTGCGCTTTTTCTTCCTGAATCATCGTTGTGAGTAAATCGGCTGCCCCTACACCCATAGCTGTGAAAGAACAATACATTTAAAGTGTAAGTGGTTTTATTATGTAATTTTCCCTCAGTAAACACCCATGCTTACGTTTGCAGCAACCATCTTTCCTTTAAGCTGTTGGAGGTATCTCTCAGCCTCAAGTCTTTCTTCTTGTATACTTCTTGCATACGCTGCAACACTTCCGACTTCCATATCTGTCAGATATTTTATCAGATTAACTTTCTTTATAAAACGGTGATGTACAAACTTAAAACACGACATAGAGCATGCACATAGCGCCTTTCCCTCGAACCCATGCAGATAACGATAACAAGCTTGTAAAATTATTGATAAACAGCATGGAAACTATGCGTGAAAGATTAATCAACGTGATAAAACAATTTATTATCGTATCAAAAGAAATAACATTGCATAACTCTATTGATGTTTTTTAACTAAATAGATGAAATTTTGAAGAACCAATTGAAATAATCATATCACTTTCTTAAAACTATATTTTCGAAGGACAAGCGTCTATCAAATGTAGTTCTATGCAAAACCATGCAAATTATTTGGCAGTTGTAATCATACAGCGAAAACTATAGAAATTCTGGTCTGTCACGCTGCTGAAATCTTACATTGAAAGAAGACATCAAAATAAATTGGCGATATGATTATCCAAGATATAAATAACTAAAAAGAAGGAAAATGAAAACTATATTCAAAAAACAACATATTAGTATATTACAAACTAAGAGACAATGTTTATAAAAATTTAGAATAATTGTACTTACGCATTGTAGTTAGTGTATGGAATTCTACACTGTGAAACAGAATGACATAGTCCTTTGGTTTCTTGATGTTTTCTAAGTACCCTGCAACGAAAAAATAGAAAATAAATGGTTTCTGCAGCGATAAAGCAAATGTTCAAATGTTTTGCTAAGTTCGAGTACTTTTGTATCAATATTTAAGAAAATATGATAAAAATCATTATCTCTTCTTTTTTTTTAGAAAAACATCATTTTTCTCGATACAACTAATAAAGGACTAAAGAGTTTCAAAAATATATCTGACGTTCAGGGATCTTTTTTATGTTTTGCAAAAAAAAGCGGTTAACAACAGTTAAAACAATATTGAGACATGTAGAGACAAATATATATTTGTGAAGGAGTGACATGTTCCTCGTTTATAATCATTATAACGAGCTAGTTCTAGGATGTTCTAAACCTAGTATATATCATGAAGTATCTAAGATGGATAAATCCTTAAGCAGCTTACGACATATTCTGTATAAGAATCCACGTCAACACAAAATCTTAATTAATGCGTCGTAAAAAAACACGATCCCTCGTTCACATCTTAATGTAAACATCAATCAAAGATGACCTTCAAATTTGAACAACATGAAATAGAAAAACAAATCTAAAATAAATTTAAATTATCAATCACATTTAATAGGAAAAACGAACTTACAATCAAAGGCATAGTCACAGAATCTGCTTCCATCCATGCAAATCATTATTCTCGTTTCTCCGTCAGCCATTTTTGTTCAATTTTTTATATTTCGTATGAATGAAGAAACACTGTAAAATATTAAATCATGCCCTTAAATGAACGACAGGGCAAAACTCTCAGCTGATAACTCTGATAAAATAGGTCATACTGTCAACTAGATTTGAATATTTAGATTAAATTAAGCTATCTACACAAATATTCTGTTTAGAAATGCCTATATCTCTTAACACTATTTTACATAGATATATCACAAATGTTTTACTCAAAGTAGAACATGTTCAAAGTTTATCTATGCACACAGTATCGTAGTTCGTGTTTTGGTATATCTTATCTATCAATTAGTATGTTAATTTAGAAGACTGAAGTGTGTTCATCAATGATGTATGTATGTGTATATCTAAGTGTTTATGTGAGTAAAGGTCAAAATCTTTATAGAATATAAACGCTGACATATTTGAATGGTTTTATTTTATTCTAAGCGATTTTCAACGCAATATCGGCTCGTACATTCATTGTTACAACGGCCGTGTTTATATCTATCTGTTTATATTGAAGCTAATGGAAGGGAAACAAACATAACAAAATGAATTATCTATACTTGAAAGATTACAGTCTCCTTTCGATGTAATAACTGAACTATATTTAAGACACACCGAAGCTTTATCTATTTTATGAAATTGCTTTTCGTTTCTTTTTAGCTCACCTGTCACAAAGTGACAGGGTGAGCTTTTGTGATCGCTTTTCGTCCGGCGTCCGTCCGTCGTCCGTCCGTCGTCCGTCCGTCCGTAAACTTTTACTTTAAATGACATCTCCTCATAAACCACTAAGCCAATTTCATCCAAACTTCACAGGAATGTTCCTTTGGTGGTCACCTTTAAAATTGTTCAAAGAATTTAATTCCATGCAGAACTCTGGTTGCCATGGCAACCGAAAGAAAAAACTTTAAATATCTTCTTTTAAAAAATCATAAGAGCTAGAGCTTAGATATTTGGCATGAAACATCTTCTAGTGAGTGTCTACCAAGTTTGTTCAAATAAAAGCCCTGGGGTCAAAATTGGCCCCGCCCCGGGGGGTCATTGATTTTCCCTATATGCATATAGTAAAAACTTAAAAAATCTTCTTTTAAAGAACCCAAAGAGCTAGAGCTAAGATATTTAGCATGAAATATGTTCTAATGGGTGTCTACCAAGTTTGTTCAAATAAAAGCCCTAGGGTCAAAATTGGCCCCGCCCCGGGGGGTCATTGATTTTCCCTATATGCATATAGTAAAAACTTAAAAAATCTTCTTTTAAAGAACTCAAAGAGCTATGGCTAAGATATTGAGCATCAAACATGTTCTAATAGGTGTCTACCAAGTTTGTTCAAATAAAAGCCCTGGGGTCAAAATTGGCCCCGCCCCAGGGGGTCATTGATTTTCCCTATATGCATATAGTAAAAACTTAAAAAATCTTCTTTTAAAGAACCAAAAGAGTTAGAGCTAAGATATTTAACATGAAACATGTTCTAATAAGTGTCTACCAAGTTTGTTCAAATAAAAGCCCTGGGGTCAAAATTGGCCCCGCCCCGGGGGGGTCAATGATTTTCCCTATATGCATATAGTAAAAACTTAAAAAATCTTCTGTTAAAGAACCCAAAGAGCTAGAGCTAAGATATTTAGCATGAAACATGTTCTAATGGGTGCCTACCAAGTTTGTTCAAATAAAAGCCCTAGGGTCAAAATTGGTCCCGCCCCAGGGGGTCATTGATTTTACCTATTTTCCCTATATGCATATAGTAAAAACTTAAAAAATCTTCTTTTAAAGAACTCAAAGAGCTATGGCTAAGATATTGAGCATCAAACATGTTCTAATAGGTGTCTACCAAGTTTGTTCAAATAAAAGCCCTGGGGTCAAAATTGGCACCGCCCCAGGGGGTCATTGATTTTCCCTATATGCATATAGTAAAAACTTAAAAAATCTTCTTTTAAAGAACCAAAAGAGTTAGAGCTAAGATATTTAGCATCAAACATGTTCTAATAGGTGTCTACCAGGTTTGTTCGAATAAAAGCCCTGGGGTCAAAATTGGCACCGCCCCGGGGGTTATTGATTTTCCTTATATGTGTATAGCAAAAACTTTAAAAAATCTTCTTTGAAAAAACCCAAATAGCTAGAGTTAAGATATTAAGCATGAAACATCTTTTAGTGAGTGTCTACAAAGTTTGTTCAAATAAAAGACCTGGGGTAAAAATTGGCCCCGCCCCGGGGGTCATTGATTTTCTTTATATGTGTATAGCAAAAAATTAAAATCTTCTTTAAAAAACCCCAAATAGCTAGAGTTTAGATATTAAGCATGAAACATCTTCTAGTAAGTGTCTACAAAGTTTGTTCAAATAAAAGCCCTGGGGTCAAAACTGGCCCGGCCCCAGGGGTGTCATTGTTTCTAACTATGTGTGTATAGTAAAAACTTAAAAAAATCTTCTTTTAAAAAGCCCAATGAGCTAGAGCTTAGATGTTTTGCATGAAACATCTTCTTATGGGTGTCTACCGAGTTTGTGCAAATAAAAGCCCTTGGGTTAAATTGGCCCTGCAACGTTGGGGGGGGGTGGGGGGCTATATACAGGTGAGCGACCTCAGGGCCATCATGGCCCTCTTGTTTATGAATACAATGACACTGTCATTGCGAAGCGATCTACAGTGCATGATTATCTTTTTTTTTTTGAGGGAAACAGCTATATTTGGTTATTTATTTGCAAAAAAAGTTTTTAAAGCTTTGTAAGTTTATTTTCAAAACTGATGGATGATAATTTTGCGTCTATTTAGGTCCTTTAAAGATACTTCATTATCATTACTCAACATTTTATTTCTTTACTTTAATTAGTAGTGTCCTGTTTAATGTTAACTTACGATGTTACCGATTTAGAAGAATAGCACATCATGTGAAATCTCTTGCATTTTTCCACCAAGATAAAGAATAACAGCTCTCTATAATATTGATCAAATCCGTGTAATTTTGTCGTTAAGCTTCTATTTTTCTGTACGAAATCTGCTGTGGTCATAGTATTATTGTATTTTCTGATCGCAAGATCAGTAAATACATAGCTAACATCCACGGTCTAACACAAAATTTCCTAACAGACCTACCAACGCAAAGTAGTTCTCACTCAAAACTGCTTAAAAACCAGCAATTTAAAAGACAGAATTATTTTTAATGTAGGCATTTAACGAATTACAGTGCATTGAAAGTTCAGATTAGTCAATAGAAATATGAGGTTACAATCACAAATTTCGCGGATGAATATCATTTTAATCAATGAAAATGCTATTTTTAGCTATGTCGATTACTGAATACTCCAGGGCGTAGTACACAAATAAATCTGACTGCCGAGTAGTGGAATATGTACATGTCGGACTGTTTTGGCGAGAAGATTTTCGCTAAATTATTCTTATCAGTGTTAAACAGGTTTATCGTGAACAAAATACCTCGAAATTGATAAGGATTACAAACACGAACTTGAAATTCTCAATTTAGAATTACAATGTATTTGTTTTTATTCAGGCTACATATTACGTATTACTTCACCGTGGTGCAGGGGTATCGCGCTCGTATCGCGCTCGTTTAGGGTGTGAGAGGCCTAAGCTTCAAATCCTAGTCGAGGCAACTTTTTTTATGAAGTGTCTTTTTTAAGGAGGTAGCCACGATATGCAAGGATAAGTGTGGCTGTCATAAGAAATGATTTTTGATGCAACTCTAGTCATGCAAAATTCCATATGTATCAATCTCAAACTGTTATAGAAAAAAATCTTAACGCAGTCGCTGCGTAAGATGAATTATAGTATATAAAAATAAACTTATATAGGAAAATACATACAGATAGTCAGTATGATTTAGATTGCAAAGATCAGAAAATACCACAGAGCTTGCAGCCCTTTGATTTTTACAATAGGTTTATCTCTTAGATTTGGTTTGCTAAATTGCTAATAATGGTCATGCAACTACATAGTTAGGTGAGGAAGCAGGCGCTTGTTTTGGTTGAGTCTATTATGTTTTGTTTAGGGGGTTGAGTTGTCATACACAAATTTACAATTTATATGCATTTATTTTTTTCCAATGATTGTTATTATCTTAAATGTTTCTGGGATTGTTGTTTTATCAATTCATTTGTAAATAAGATTGTTATATGTCTATTAACGGAATAATTTTAATGAACACGAAATTAGTTCACACCTACATGTGTATTGGTAACGTGATGGTTTAAGCCAATGAAAAAAACGTCAATATTATTATACTTAGGCAGAGAAAAAGTGTGCAAAGAGTAAATAGATAATCTTTATGTAGCCAGCAAACTTTGAATTGCAAGTATTTTTTCATATCTTTTCGGCAGGATAAACTGTCCGAGGATTCGTATCGTAAAATGGCTGCCATTTACAGTATCAAGTGATTATCCCAAGCACCACCGCGACTTAGCGCGGGAATTTTAATTATAGCTAACCTCCGCGCGTATACCTTTTTCATATTTTATTGTAATAAATGTTTACAAACTGTGTCTTTCGGGGTTTTTTTTATCAATATATAACCAATAATGATGTTAATATGAATAAATAATCATATCTCAAATCTTTGACTATGATTTACAATGAAATTCTACCTTAAGTGTATTAAAAAGGTTTTTAATTTCCTGTAATTTTATTTTGTGATTATGCTTCAAAGCAGTCAATTGACCGTGAATTTTCTTTTCATATTTTGATTTCCTTGAAATCATTTTTCTCATCTGAAGGCATGCAACTTTAATATGGTGATACATTAATTACATTCCATGAAAATGTTTAAAGATATAAAATATCTCATGACATGTTTGTTCATTTTACATTACACCTTTAATTCAGCAAACATAAAGTCTTCACAAAAAGTAGTATGCAATCGTACCTATATTACATACGAATGTATGTAATATTTTTCTTGTTTAAAATCGTATTGAATCTATAATTCCGTATTTTATAAATGTTAAACTGAATTGGTTGTGTAAAATTATTATTCACTTTTATCTCTGAAAAAAATACACAAGAAAGGAGTAGAAAATTCAACATTTCACGTGTAAAATGAATAATTTAACATGAAAGTGACATTAAGGTCCCCTCATCGATCAACTTACGCATTGTTAAAATGGAGTAGCATTTGAATAGCTTACGGATTTTGAAATAAAACTGTTTTGCAAAACAATTTAAAAAATCAGAGCTGGAATATTTAAATGGATAACTTTATAACTTTAATTCTTATAATTTGAAAGAGAAAGCAATTCAGTCGCAATGTAAAAGATCAACAGGACTTATATTAATTGCCTTC